ATTATAATTATAGATAAATAATCTCTTGTTTTTGCATTACTTTTAATAAAATTGAGAAGGTTATGACCTGCATTGCTAAAAAGCAATTAATCATCCATCTAAATATTATTATATAATCTTATTTTTATAAAATTTTCAGATCTTATCTATATTTATTTTACATTAATAATTTTTTCTAAATAATTTTTTAACAATGCAAATGCACAACTTCCCTTAAATTTTATTAATTTTTTTAAATAGATTTATAGTATTTTAACTATTTTTTTATAAAAATAGAAAGGAACACCCAAAGTTTTATTTATTTTGAATCTTTTTAAATAATAACGCCAATTTTATTATTTATAATTTAAATAAAAGAATTTTTTAAAATATGGTATCTGTATGGAAATATTTTACAAAAGACAAAGATAATTTTGCAAAATGCGTTATTTGCGGAATTCTAATTTCACGGGGAGGAATAATGAAAAATTCATTTAATACTACCAATATCCGTAAACTTTTTTAAATTATTGTATAAATAAAGAAATTAAATTAAATGCATAATTCGATTTTTTGCATAAAAATATTGATTTCTTAATTATATTTACTTCTAAGGGGGATGGTAAAATCAATATAATATCGAACCGGGTTTGAGTCAATATTGGATCGGATCGGTGAGAAATATGTGGATCGGCACAGCCCTAATAATAATTAATATTTTATTTAAATAATAAAAATGTTTTAAAAGTGATAATAATTATTTTAGATTGAAAAAGAAAAAAAAATAATTGTTACTCTCTCATTCTTATAAAAATAGTTATTATTTTTTTAATTAAAATGTATGCCAAATATATTTATTAGACAAAACGTTCTCTCAAAGCGTTTTCCGAGGCACATTTTCGCAAATTTTTTTACTTCTAAACAACAAACAATTTTTATATTATAAATTTAATAAATAATTTTTGTAAAAAAGTATTATATCCCCAGAAAAGGGATCAATGTTACTTAAAGCTAATATTTTTTACTTATTAAAATATAAAAATCATATAAAGTACTTACAATACCAAATTATTTTCTAAAAGCCTATACAAGCAGAATAAGCAAACTGATTATTTAGAGGGATAAGTTATCTAAGAGAAAAATACGATTTAATTCTTATAAATACATTACTTTTATTAAAATATTATTCATCAGATAAGTTTGTATATTTTTATTATTTAGGATTTTCCTAAGGGGGGATTAAAGCCCCCATACCCTATTTTAAGCGGACCTTCGGCCAGGTATCCATATATAGTTATAAAATATTTTTACAAGATAGGAGGTTAATTTATATCCAAAAATAATTCTGGAACAAATAGGAAATATATTTTTATTAGTTTATATAAAATATAATAAATTACAAATACATTAATACAAAAACTGGTAATAATTTATGTTAGATCTAATTTTCTTTTAGAATTTGGGAATTAATTAATTGTTTCAGAATTAACTGGTGTTAATTCCCTATGAATATTTATGAGCGCTTAGCTATTTAATCTATTTTGCGAGGTAGTATTTTGCAAATATGTTTTTAGCCTTCGTAAATTCGAGAAAGTACTTTCATTTACATGTTGTAATAGGGAAACATGCTACAATTTGAGATAATTTTGTTATGTTTGGAAAGTTTATTAATAGGCTTAACCATTCTTTTTAAGCTTGCATACCAATATTTAAATTTAAATTTCTTCTATGTCCCTACCATATCTTGCAAATAAAACGTGTATAAATAGTGAATTTTATCTCTAATCTCATCCGAGATGCTCACTGATGGATTAGAGAATAACAAAATTTGAAAGTTATTGAGCAAGAGTTTATGATTCAATAAGTATTCTCTAATTTGAGTTTAAAATATATCCATAAGTGGTATGAAAATCGTAATTCTGTGATACTTTTCAACTGATTATGTGGAAATATTATTCCCATGTACTTGTCTTGATACAATTCCTGGCATGTTTATTATGAAAGAACCTTTTTTCAACCATGTTAAAAATCTTGCTAAATTCACAATCAGCATTCTTTCTTAAGTTCTAAATTAATTTTATACATATTTTTAAAATAAAGCAAATTTATCCAGATTGCAAATTTTGTAATTTACTTTTGAATGTACTATCTATAAGATAGTATTGTTGATCAATAAATTATAATAAAATTTACTGCAGATCTTTCATCAACATTAACTTAAAAAAATATAAATATAATGTTGAAATACAGTACCTATTAGGACTATCTGAATGGGATCATTTTTCTCTAGCATAATCACTATTGTTTAATCACCAAGAGCAAAACCTACTTAAATGCCCATCCCATGGGAAATAAAAGGAGAGGTAAATAGCCCATGCCCGATTAAATAAAAACTTGATTATAGAATGGTTATGGTGGCTATCAAGTACAAATACAATCTCATATCAGTTAAACTAGTTCTTTATATCAAACTTTGAAAATAATCAATAATCCATTCCATATTCAATATCCATCGTACCCACTTAGAATTTACATTGATAAATAATAGTAATAAAGATAATTGATATTGGTTGAACTAAAATTTTAAGGCTGCATTCAAAGTGAAGACGGATCCGTTCCGTCAAAGGTCAATCTCATTAAAAATGATATTTATGCTCAAAGTGCGTCCGTTCCGATACCTTCCGTCAAAACGGATCCGGCACATTTTGAAGTCCAAACATTTTGACCTTTTGATCCAGCAAATTTTATAGAGCGTTATAATGTTACTTATAATTTTTTAAAAATGAAAATCAATATATATATATATATATCATTTTTAATGAGATTGACTTTTGGCGGAACGGATGTAAAAAACGGATCCGTCTCCACTTTGAATGCAGCCTAAAAGTTATAATTCATATGTTTAAATGAATGTAACAATATTTAGTTCTGGTAGAAAATTAAATATTAATAGATATGTTTATTAATTTAACAAATATAGAATTATTTTTTTCATTTACTTTCTTTAAAAGATATTTTATTATGTCCATATCAATATTTTATAATCTTCTGTAAAATATTTAATTCACTATTGGTAAAAATAACTTAATTGTCATACGATATTAGATAAAATTATATCTACGACACGCTTTTTGTATTGTGCAATAATTTTTTTTACATAATTTATAAATTAAAGTTATTCAGTTTATAAAAATTTTTTATTATATTATTTAGTAATTTTATGGATCTATTAATAATAATTAATATAAATTTCACTTTAGTCTTAAGACTTTTCTCTGGCTTATATTTCATTTCTTAAAAAACATTTTAGGTTTCACTTTTTTTATATAAAAATGCTTTTTTCCAAATATGAATTATAGTCAATGGTTTTATAGTTTAAAAAAATATTAAATTTTACATTCTTTCTAAAATTATTGTTTAAGGGGGACAGGGGGTAGAGAGAGGACTAAGGAGATTTTTTTATTAGCTTAAAATGATATTCACAAAAAGTAATATATTTTTGAAGGGAGGAATTTCCCCTTGCTCCCTCCTTGGTTACACCTATGATTTACAATAATAAATGTAATGACATAAAAAATGTAGGCAATGAATTTCTTAAATGTATAATACTAGTTTCTAACCTGTCAAAAATGACAGGTCATCCAGATATTTCTCCTTATGAATGAGATATTTGAATTTTTTTATTTATTGTGGTAGTTTGCATACCTATTTTTGAATGCATTCCTTAATTCTGATTTTGTTACACATGATTATTTGTTGATATAAATAAAATAAAATTTTTGATTCATAATTAGTATTTCAATCATAAATCTTCATAGATTGGGCTTACCCACGTGAGGCTGGATATACTATTTTCTAGTAGGCCTGGGGTTTTGGGAAATTTTTTAAATAGTAATTTCGTCTAAAATTTTTAAATTAAATTTGGATTATTTAAAAAAAGTCGCTACTATTAAAAAATATTTTATTTTGTTACTAATATTAATAAATTTTAGTATTGCAAACAATATAATTGCTTAAATACATTAAAATATTGTTTGTTTACTAATTCAGGCAGAAACTATAAAAAGATTAACAAATACAAAAATTTTAACAACTTCAAATTCACTCCAATAGTGACTTACACAGATGGCTATTTTTCGCCATTGACATACAAGTTTTAAAAAAATCTAGGCATTAAAATAAGGCTTTTTACAAACGAAGCCAGAGAATTTTTATATATGCTCCAAAAAAATCAAATATAAATTTTTATGGTTCCTTTTTGGGAATTCAATTATATAATTGTATTTTTAATTTTTATAATCGGTCGGCCTGGCGGATAGGTAAATTTAACATTATGGGTATATAATATCTGTCACTTTTATAACTTTAAGATGATAGGAAAGTTGATAGAAAAATAAGATTAACAATATGATTATATGAAAACTTTCACTTCTTGATTATAGATATTTTTTACATTATCGAATTAAGAGATACATTTAAAAAAAATATGGAATAAAGATAGAAGATCTATTCATGCTGCATGACATTGCACATAACTGATAAATAATTTGCAAGATTTTTATTTTTAAATATATTCATATAATATTAAAAAAACAAGTTGTTCACTTCAATCATAACAGGCGCCATTTAAACTAGTTTGATATTTAAAAAAACGCAAAATCGCGTGCATTAAAAATAAATTGTATTAGGAAGGATACATCTATTAAGAACTATATTTGTTTTTTCTTGTGCTTTGACAAAATATTGTGACCGAGGGCCTTAGACAATATTTAATTTTATTTTTCCAAAAAATATAATTTTTTTAGTTCAAAATTTCATCGGAAAATTATTTTACTAACTTCTAGATGGTTTAATAATTTGGTAATGTATCATAGTATCGGGAATGAAAAGAATCGTCCGATACCTAGAATATCTGGTCTATTATACTTTGTATCGTTGCATCTAGGATATATTACTATGTTTAAAAAAATTTTGTTGATATTATATCAGCAATACATTTACTTTCATTATATATATCACAGATAACAATCCACAAATATCTCCTAAAATTGAATATGCCCATCATAAAATTGGAAAAAAAATCGGAAATATAGAATTTAAATATAACATATTGAATACAAGATGTTTAGACAAAAAATCAAGTACTATTATAAATATTTAAATAAATATGTGATATTCTTTTTAAGAATTTTTTATCGGATATATTCAGGAATATGTAAATTATACAAAAAGTGTTATTTTACAGGCATAATTTTATCATTTTGAAGATGTAACGAATTTATCTTTAGCCAAGAGTTTTGAACCGAAGACTGAATCGAACCTATCAAATTTTTTTTTGATAAACCTGAGTCAAACATCTATTAAAAATAAAAGGAGCTATCCAAACCTATATAAACAGGTGTTTATAAAGGTTTTATAAATTTTTAGTGTCAAATAATATAATAAAAAAATACATAATATGTTATATTTATTTTGTTATCTTATTTTGCATATTTTCTGAAGAAAGAAAACTAGAAACTAACTCCCTATTAGCATCAATATAAATGTCTGCCCCAGTTCGACAGATTTCTTTTGAAAGATAATTTTGAAGATTAAAAATTCTATTATCATTTAGAGCATAAATTGCAGGGTTGATCTGTCAAATTCAGTCAATTAACTGGAGGAGTATTTTCCTGGTGAAATACTCTTAAAATAAATCTGAAGAATAAAATAAAAATATATTGAAAAAAGATAAAACGATATAAATAAATGTGATCACAATAATGCTTGATTTTTTGGCACCCAGTGTTAAGGGGAGCATCTCACTAGTATTGAATTTAATGGAGCATTTGATATAATACAAGAATTAGGCATTTTACAGGGTAATGATAATCAAAATATTTCAAGTCATATCATAAATTTCAGAAGTAAAAGCGGCATGTTTAATAGCAAATTGTGAAAGCAATAACTTCCATCAGATTCCGACCTCAAGTTAATGGAATAAACTTTTCCCATCATGCCCATTAAGAGAAGTTTTACTAACAATTCATAGTTCTATTCGGAAAGAAATTGTTCGATTTGGATTAATATTTTTACTAAAAGAGAAATCGATTGAAGATCTCGACAACAGGAAAATTGATTAAAAAATAATAAAGAAAATGATAATATTGAATATGAATCAGAACAAGACATTGCCACGGAGAGCTAAACATTAGTTATTGAATGATAATGAATTAAAAAAATATTATAAAATTAATATTACAGATTCATTTTATTATAATATACAAAATAAAGTTAATATTGACTTAAAAAAACATTTATTAGGATTTGACCATATTTGACTGGTCAAATATCGGTGAATTAATCGAAACATATTTGACCGGTGGAATACACAATCCTAGTAAATTGTGTTCAATTATTAAAATATAAAACGATAAAAACGTAAAATAATAACAAAATTTCAAATAATCACACTAAAAATAAATAAATTAAAGATCTTAACTATTTTATATCTATATAATATTTAATGATTTTTATTTTATGTATCTATTATAATAATCAATATACACGGGCCGGGCCTGAAAATATTTTTAAAAAAAAATCCGGGCCCGGCCGTATATTTTAAAACCAAATATTTGAATCGCCATTATTAGCTATAAAAAATAAAAATAATATATTTTGAAAAAATCCGGGCCGAGCCGTGCAAATTGTACTTCTACAGATCTCTGATAATAATCAAAATAATTTTAATAAGCCTATAAAATACAACAATCTAAAATAAATTATTAACAGGATATTTATAGTTATGTTATATAAAATAATAATAATAACAATTCGTATCTTTTAAAATTAGAACTTGAAGATTTTGAAACTGATTATTGAGTATATAATGTTACTGTAAAGTATTTATTATATTTGAGCCATATTATGATGATGAAATAACAACATCCATTCTTACGTTAATCTATGAATAATAATATTTAAATTAAGAAGCTCTCTATAGGACAGAAATAGTGATTGTTTAAAAAAATTCAAATATTATAAAGGAAACAACTGATTAAAAAATAATCCTTTTTTCTTAAAAAATTTGGATTAATATTAAACTTATATTTTTTATATTCAAATGAATAAAAATAAAGATTTTATGAAATTGAACGAACGTAAAAATCGAACACGTTCATCAAAAAGAAGGAATGCGTTAATCAAAAAAATGAAAGGAACGTCGTTCATCATTTTCTTGATAAAAACTAATTGAACGCGTTTGTTTACATTGCCTAAACATAACATAAACAGCTATAATTTTTTCTACTTAGATATAAAAAAGCTACACTCGGGAACAGGTTACCAGGTATTTCAACTTCGTCATATATGAAAACTCCCGTAGTTTTTTTTAAACGTATTAAACTAATTTCTCTGCAATTTCAATCTATCAAATCTTCTGCATTGAGAAATCATCAAGGATTGTAGTGTTCTATATCCACTGAATTATATTCTTTCGATAATTTATTTTTTTCAAGTTAAATTGATCTAAATCAATAATAATGTGAAAATATATCTAAGAATATTTATATTTACATTATTTTAATATTCTATGTCCAATTTTTAAATATAAAGCTTCATACTTAAACCAATCAGAATTATAAAAATCAAGTTTGCGTGATTTGTGAAATGCAATATTAAAGAAATATTGATTAATAATATTTCATTTAGTAATTCAATTTTAATATTTTATAAAAAAATAAATCAGAACTTAATTAATGCAGTTTAATCAAACAATTTTTAAATATTTTATATTCATAATTTAAAAAAATATATTTTCCAAAAGTCAATAAAAAATTGAAAATTAACTTATTAATATTACTGTCCATTTCTCATTAAAAAACTGATCAAATTGTTGTCACCAAAAAATGCATCAGAATAAAATTATAAAACTAATGTTTATTTATGATAAATCAACGAAAAATAATCATGTCGCGAGAGAAAAAAATGTTCTCTTAAAACTAGGAATGTACCGATATTTTTAATGGGATCGGATTTGGCTGATATTTCATCTTTTTTTAAACTATAGGCGAATGTAAAATTATCCGATCCGATAAAATGGCGTCTTTATTTTTAAAAATTTTATTTCAAATTTCATAATATATTTGTTTATTTCTTATTATGCAAATATATTAATGTTATTAATAAATAAGTGATTTATCAATAAAAATATTTTGTATACTTTTAGTTTCATGAATACAAACTATAACTTATGATATATTTAAATGGCTTATATTATGGTATAGTTATAGATGTTATACTATTAAAAAGTATATGAGATGAGTAGTCATTTGTAGTAATACAAAATCGCTCCATTTGAGACGATTTTTAAAAGCGCCTAACTCAATATTTTAGCCAAAAAATATTCCCTAAGACATTTCGCCAATAGTTGTCCCACCTATGAGTAAAATCTTCTGGCCTACGTAATATTTTCTGAATAAAATGGTGAGTTAGCTGTTTTTAAAAATAAACTAAATGGAGCGATTTTGCAACACTAGATATATGTATTAAAAGTTAGAACGGTTAATGTTTTTACAGAATACAAAATCAGGTATGATATCGGAACGGTAATCGACCTATATCAATTTAATATTGATCAAATGGTCTCTAAAAAGTGGTATTGGTACACCCCTAATTAAGACGTATTTAGGCAATCATTTTGTTCGCCATACTGAAATTTTTTATTATTTGAATAAAACGAGTGCAATTTTTTTTAAGTTAGCAACTGTTAAGCTAACAGGCCCGCTAGAAAATATAATATTAGATCCATCCGCGGGCCAGCTCGGCCCATAAAGGTCTCTGATTTAGATCTCTATTTTATGTGTAAACCAACTATCACATATAGGTGTCCCAATGTACACCGAGTATGGCATGATTTGACACAAAAGTAAAATCAGATTAAATTTTCTAAAAAAGAATAGTTTTTATAAAATGTATATTTACTATTTCAAATAGCTTTTTAAAATTCAGTAGGTGTCTTATTTATTCAGATTAGTTTAATATTATTGAATTTATTCAAGTTTGAACGAAAAATGTCTCAACCATCAAATAGAGAACTGCAGTGGGCCCGAGCCTGAGGTCTCCAAATTTTAAGGAAATTTAGGCCAAACTCGGTCTATAAATTTAAAAACTGGCCTGGCCAGGTTCGAGCTTAAAAAAAATATAGAAATTAAAACTACTACCTGATTTTATATATTAAAGTAATTTAAATCAATATTTTAGACATTAATTATAAAGATCATAAGAATGGAAATGACGAAGAAAGTGATCATGATTCTTTTGTAGATGATAACACTATAGATGATGAATATGGAAATTATTCTGATCACATAAAGGCAATATTTGGATATGATAAAAAAAGGTTTATCTTGTTACAATTACTTAAATTTTGTTATAAGGGCAAGTTGATGTTAATTTTCTAATATTTATTTAAATTTAGATCTATTTTTATCATTTCTTAATTTTCTTAAATTTTTTCTTCTCATTTTTATTATTATTTTTTTTGTCTTTTTTAAAAGAATTTCTTTATTTTCCATGTCATCTTTTATTAATTCTCCATTTTGTTCATATTAACCATTTTTTTTCCCTTTTCACCTTTTTCTCTTTACAATTGTAGAGTTAAATTACATTTCATCGTAATAATAAGAAATTGTACACCAAAATGAAGACTGAGGACTTTAAGCATAAATAAAGTCTGAGGACTGTTGACATAAATAGAGGCTGTATAATTCATATTCTTTATTTCTTCAAAAACAAATTATATATATTTTATTTTCTAAACACACTAAAACGCCAATATATTTTAATAATTTTATAATACATAATTTTTTTTATATATAAATAAAATATATTCTTAAAAACATTCTACATAAAATTCAATTAACCCAAAAAAACATAAAAGTAATCAACAAAATCATATATTATTACAACATAAAGGTCAGCCCATTGTTAACAGTTTTTAATCAACTGATATTAATACTTTTCGTCAATATTTAATCGATATTCTTAAAAAAATTAAAAACTATTACTAGATATGCAAACGAAATTGAAATTGATGATGTAAGAGAAACTTCATTCAAAGATCAAATGAAAGAAGAAGCTAGGAGGTTTTATATTATTTTATATTTCATTTCCTATATCGATATGAATAGTACAAGAATCGGAAAATTCGAAGATTTGGAAGACATAAAATTAGAAAATGAACATATATTTAGGAAAAGAAAAAGGAAAATTATATAATTAATTTTTAGAACTGTAAAATATTTTTTTCATTTCTGAAATTTTATTAAAACAAGTTACGAAAAGTTATAAACATATGTATTCAGTTTATTAATTGGGAAATATATTTTGCTTTATATATTTAAAATGATTTATATTGTTAATTTATTTATTCGTATATTTTAATTTTCATGATCACTTTTGAGGGTAATTCCTTATAAAATCGATAAATCTAGAATCCGGCCTTTTTAATTTACTTGAGAACATTAGCAAACATCGACAAAATTATAGTCTCTTAAGACCAGAAGATCCCTAAAAATTTTGAAATTGACCTTTTTTAATATTAAGATAAGTTAAAAAATATTGATGCAAAAAAGTAAAAATAAAAACTGAATTTATTTCTAGCTCTACCAAGAACTTAATAAATATTGAGATTTCATTATATATTTTTTTGAAACTGAAATTTCTATGTTTTGCTATCTGATTTGTAAATTTAATTATTTATATATCTATTTTTAAAGAAAAATTAAGGACAGCCGGGGTTTTTATATAGTTATTGTGATTTTTTTAAGTTGGAAAGCATAAAATGTGAGATCTACCAGATTCAATATACTATATTATTTAGGGTTCCACGTCTTTATAGAGAAACCATTATAGAGAATGTATTTTATAGAGAAACAATTATAGAGAATGCATTTATAGAGAATTGTTTTATAGAGAATGTAATTTATAGAGAATGATTTTAAAGAGAATTATTTTATAGAGAATGTCCTTTATAGAGAATGACTTCAAAGAGAATGATTTTATAGAGAATGCCGTTTATAGAGAATGGTTTTATAGAGAATGTCGATTATAGAGAATGATTTTAAAGAGAATTATTTTATAGAGAAGGTCCTTAATAGAGAATGACTTCAAAGAGAATGCTTTTATAGAGAATGTTGTTTATAGAGAAGGATTTTAAAGAGAATTACTTTTATAGAGAATTATTTTGTAGAGAATTACATTGTAGAGAATTATTTTGTAGAGAATTACATTGTAGAGAATTATTTTGTAGAGAATTATTTTCTAGATCTTGATTTTATAGAGAAATATTATATATGGGACAACTAGAGAGTTCAAAAAATTTATGCGGGATTTGAAAAATATATCAAAATTAACATTTTAATAATACAATTCAGTTTATTTGTTGTATTTTTTCGATGATTTTATTTGTTTCAACAATGGTTTTTTTGTAAAATCTTTTTAGTTCATATCAAGGTTTATCTTAATTATTAACTCAGCTAAACCAACCTGAAACCATTTGTTAAATATGTATTAACCGTTATTAAAGAGAATCTAAACTTAACCAACCATTTTTAAAATTTTTATATATTGCATTTATATGTCAGCTATCTAAATTAGCCTTTAGAAGGGTTCTTAACTTTACCCTGATGGATATATGACGGACGAGAATCTTATTCTAATTTTAATTAAGAAAAGGTTTTAACCAGTTGTTTGGGTAAAAAATATGTCACATTCCCATTCGTTCTGCGTTTCGGAACACGTTTGGTTTCTATATAAGATATTATAGCGAATGCACTATCGCGAATGTATTATAAAAAAATCGAAAGATGGAAAATATCTCTTTTTTACATTTTCTATGCCTTCATATTTTTTTAAATGTGTATTCTTCAAGACTAAAAGAGGTTTAGAAAGATTTAAAATAAAAGTTTTAAAAGCAAGCATTGATGGATATTAAAATTAATTAAACAAGCTGAAGCGATCATTTATGACTCCCCTTTTTACAGTAGAAAGCAAGGCCCTATAAAAAATATATAAGAAAAGTAAGATATCTGTCTCATGAAGCGTTGATAATGAAAATTATTATGTTATGCTGGAAAATAAAAATATTGCTTTAATCATAAAAAATTTTTTATTAAGAAACACCCACCCCCCCCCCCCTCCCCCCACCTCCAAACAGAAAAGTTTGAATAAATAATTAGCCCTAATGATACGAAGTTAAATATTAATGATTATTATACTTGCTTATAACCAGATCTATAGACCGACTACCAATAATAAAAAGACGCTTAACCATTCAAACAATGTTAAACAGGACCTTTTACCACAGGAGAAGGGGTTATAACTCAAGATTGGCATTGAATTTAAAATGGGTAGTTTGTATTTGGTCCGTTGTTCTAATTTTGATGTGGTATAGGAAATGAGTGAAGTGGGGGAAGAAGGTGGTAGTATTATAATATATGATGCAAAATCTTTTGATTATTAGGTATTTAAAATATCTTCTAAGTGTAAAAGAGTTAGTAAAATATTGTGCAATCTGCTGCAAATATCAAGCTTAGATATTTGCTAAAGAAAGACATTACAATGCGATGGAAATCAGTGTATATCATGATACAAAACTTCTTATAATCATATGATGAAATTCAAGTTTGTCTGTGAACCAACCATATTTAAACAAATTGGTATCAATAAATATAATCCCTATATGTAAATAAAAAATTTCTTATAAATATTAAAAGTCTGATCTTCGGAAAGTTTAACAAGTGCAAAAAACCTATAAAACATTTTAAAATTTTGATTCATCTTTCTCTACACTGCTAAGGAGTTTAGGCTTGTAATAAGAAATTTCCATTTTACTAAAATCAATTTAGAGAAAAAAGTGTATTATTTTAAATTTTGTCGGTGTATAATTTTTAGGTAAGGGTTTGAACTATCATCTTGTAAATTCAGATACAATTATTTTCGGACCTTTGACGATTTTGACAGAAATGATCCAACCACCCCCTGGTCTTCCTTGTCTACCCTGTGAATATTAGACAGCTCTAGTGATCTTTTAACTAAACTTAATTTTGGTAAGGCTATAGTTTGATGGGTATTGTTTTTTTTTGTTATTATTTGCATTTAAAATCATTAATTGAGTGCGTTTTATTAAATTTAAAAATCTGATTTTGTCAGAAATGCACCTGAATAAGTGTAGAATGCCCATCCTTAATGTTGCGCAATCGGTTAATTTTAGGCAATTCCAAAACGGTTAGCCAAGTTTTTAGGTTAAAAAATCGGCTAAGCATAATTAGGCATCGCATAAAAATAGGCGAAAACTAATTATTCAAAAATTAGGCATCGGCTAAGGAGCTCGGTTAATCGCCCGTAATATATCTTTACATAATAAATATATTAAATAATTTTAATAAAGGCTAGGCTTAGTGATGCGTAACGCTGACGGGCGATTAGCCTAGCTTCTAGTCCCTACATTTTGTCTAATTAGTTTTAGGCGATTTTTCGGTTAAGCCAAATTAGGTTTAGTTGATTTTTAGGCTACTAACATTACTGATAAATTTCAGATTAATGTAAATTAAAATTTCTTCAGAGGTTCAATATAAGATCTTCTGAAATTTATAGGGTAGGTATTCTATACATATTATAATGCATTTTCAGCGAAATCAAATTTAAAATTTAATAAAACGCGCTCAATTTATGATTTTAAATAAAAAAATAAAACAAAATAAAATTATTAAATACAAAAAAATATTGGCGCAATCGTATGAAATTCCCAGGGTAGATTCTCTTCGGAATTGGTAAAATTAGATTTATTAGGGAAATTATAAAAGCGCACTATAAATCAGAGACCTGGCCAGACCTTAAGCCCGGGCAGTATTTTAATTTTTTTAAATATACCCGGGCCGAGCCTAAAATTTTATTTTTTTAAATACACGGGCCGGGTCAAAAAAAGCTTTTTTTGAAAAAACTAGGGCCGGGCCATATATTTTAAAACCAAATATTTTAAATCACCATTATTATCTAGGCAAATTAAAAATATATAATATATTTTTAAAAAATCGGGGCCGGGCTAAGCAGATTAAAATAATGCACAAAGCAACTAAATATTGACAAAATTTTCTAAAACAATTGGTGTAAGGCTGGCTTTGTTGCTAATAGTTTTTTTTAATGGCTACTCTACTAGTTAAAGCAAAGCACTAATAGAAACTGATAAAGAAGGAAACATTTTCATAATTTAAGCATTACTACTTCTAATTGTTTAGCGTATTTTAAAAAAAATAACAACAGGAAACTCAAAAATATTATCATAATTATTCATAAGCAATACAAATCAGGAACGTGAATAATTTCTTTTAAGATTATTTTTTCCCTTTTTTTATTCAAGGGTTCCGAGAATTTATATGAAGGCATATGGCTTGTTTTTTTTTGAGAAAATTTATTTCTAAAATAATACTTAATTCATTTTCTGTAAAATCATTCTCTATAAAATTCTATAAAATTATTCTCTATAAAATCCTTCTCTATGAAATAATTCTCTCTAAAACAATTGTCTGTAAAATATTCTCTAAAAAATAATTCTCTGTAAAACAATTCTCTGTAAAATATTCTCTATAAAATCATTCTCTATAAACGAGATTCTCTATAAACGACATTCAAATATAATTGTTTTCTCTATATAAAAGTTTCTCAATAAAATAAATTCTCTATAAAATCATTCTCTATAAACGACATTCTATATAATTGTTTTCTCTTTAAAAGTTTCTCTATATAATAAATTATAAAATCATTCTCTATAAACGAGATTCTCTATAAAATCATTCTCTATAAATGAGATTCTCTATAAATGAGATTCTCTATAATTGTTTTATTCTTTATAAAATCCTTCTCTATAAAATAATTCTCTCTAAAACAATTCTCTGTAAAATATTCTCTATAAAATAATTCTCTGTAAAACAATTCTCTGTAAAATATTCTCTATAAAATCATTCTCTATAAACGAGATTCTCTATAAACGACATTTAAATATAATTGTTTTCTATATAAAAGTTTCTCTATAAAATAAATTCTCTATAAAATCATTCTCTATAAAATCATTCTCTATAAAATCATTCTCTATAAAATCATTCTCTATAAAATCATTCTCTATAAAATCATTCTCTATAAAATCATTCTCTATAAAATCATTCTCTATAAAATCATTCTCTATAAAATCATTCTCTATAAAATCATTCTCTATAAAATCATTCTCTATAAAATCATTCTCTATAAAATCATTCTCTATAAAATCATTCTCTATAAAATCATTCTCTATAAAATCATTCTCTATAAAATCATTCTCTATAAAATCATTCTCTATAAAATCATTCTCTATAAAATCATTCTCTATAAAATCATTCTCTATAAAATCATTCTCTATAAAATC